TAAATTATAACCATCCGCTATTTTAAAATGTATTAAAATCTGTAACGCTTTAGCTTCTAATCCAAAAAATACCTTAAGCTTTAACATGAGTCGGTAACACTTTTTAATAACTACACACTATAAATCATTTATTAGGCATTAGCAAATAGTGAATTCACTATCTGTTAAGCATTAACTTTACATTAATAAGCTTTAGTAAACCGTTTATAACTGCAGCGACAAATGCTCTATTCTTGACTTATGAGCACCTATATAATGTGCTTAATAATAATTGTATTTTCATACTTTGTTAATGATTTGTTTTTCATTACTAAATTAAGTATCAAATTATTTACAAACCATTTGTATTTAAGAGTAGTTGAGGGTTTTTAGGATCATTCAAAATAAGTTGGTAGATGATTAATGAACCATAAAAATAAACATTTATATATCTTATTATTCAGGCATACTAATAGTTAACCAATATATGAATAAATGCTTTATTAACTTAACTTCTTGCAGTTTTGTGACCTAATATAAAGTGAGGACTGTTTATGCTTTATAAATCCCTTATAAATGACAATGAAAGGCTCAGGATCAAATGAACAATAATCTTTGCAATCTTTTCTAAGAAGTAAAATTACTGTAAAGTTTAAACATTGCCAAATAACAGGTGTGTCAAAATACACATTGGACTGGATAAAACAACAATATAATAATTTAACAATATAGAAAGATGCAATGTTTAAACTCTATAGTGATTTTTTTAGATAAGGTTGCAAAGATGTATTTTTCATTTGAAGTACAGTTTTATTTATGTATCTTTAATTGAATAGGAATGAATAATGTCATTTTTCCTGTTTAGAATTTAACTGAGCCTTTATGTCATTTATAAGGGATTTATAAAGCATAGATAGTCCTCACTTTAGATTAGGTCACAAGATGAAGTTGAGTTAATAAAGCATTTATTAACATACATAGTAACCATTAATAAATGCGAATAATAAGACATAAACGTTGATTTCAATAGTTTATTATTCATTTACTGACTCATTTAGAATGATTCTTAAAAACCCTCAGCTACTCTTAAATACAAATGGTTTGTAAATAATGCAATACTTAATTTAATAATGAAAAATAAATCATTAACAAAGTATAAAAGTACAATTATTAAGCACATTTTAAATATGTTTGTAAGTCAAGAATAGAGCATTTGTAGCTGCAGTTATAAACTGCTTACTAACGCTTATTAATGTAGAGTTAATGCTTAACAGATAATGAATTCATTATTTGCTAATGCTTAATAAATGATTTATAGTGTTAATAAAGTGTAACCCGCGAGTCTTGTGTGAATAACGACTACTTAATTACTTGTTAATTCATGTTTGATAATGTAATAATAAACACTTTAAGCTAAATGTAACACGCTCTATGAGAGAGAATATTCATTTAAAATGCAACTTGACCAACATGATCTCATGAGCTGTTAATGTATCATTATGTCATGACTTTACTTGGAGAAGTACATCATTATTAACTGATTCTTCACAATTTGAGAACCCCTAAGTTTAAACCTAATGGTCATGCACATCTACCCAGTGTGTTCACATTGAAAAACAATGTGTGTTCTGTCTACATCCTAATAAACTGCTTAAACAGCATTGTTACCAAGCCATCTCTAACTTGCAAGTAACTGTCAAGGTCAAACGTATCTGATAGGGCCTGATAAATCATAGAGTCCATTGGAGGTGACAACAGTATGATGTTTCCTCTCCAAATCCACTGTTCAAATCTTGTTTCCAATTTAAAGATTAACAATCTGGGTTAAATGCAGTCCAACTCAATAACTCAGATGTCAACAGCCCCTAACTTCAGTGAAAAGTCCAACACACCCTCAGGGCAATTCGTTACTTTTTGATTTAGTAGTTAATTCATAAGAATTTGTAGGATCTCATTCATACAATTTAGAAGGAATTGCTCATCCCTCAATGACTTTTAGCTTTAGGGGCAGGGTTTTGTGCCACACCACCTTTTTAAAATCATACATTTTCATAAGACTGAACTATACGGAGTAGTTACATTTCCTTGTGAGATGAAAAGTCAGAAAATATTTAAATAAATGGACGTTGGTCATACATTTAACAATACTTGTCTTCCTTTGGGCGGTTCATTCTGCTGTGGCGACCCCAGATAATTAAACGGACAAAGCTGAAAAGAGAATGAATGAATGAATGAATGAGTGTCTTTCGTTGTTTCTTCATGTGAGTTTTGGAATGATATAAAAGTGAGAGAAAAATGCATTTCTTTCCATTCATTTCGGTAAGACAAATTTTTTGTGTGAATCTTTATCTGTTAGCATTCTTGCCAGGATGACTTCTGTGGCTCAGTGTGAAATGAATGAAGACATAACTCTACAGCCGGTTTCAACTCCAGTTCGGGACCCTTTACCTAGAGACCCCAGTTGTTGGATTTACTACAACAAACCCATCTTGATCTTGATCGTCAGTGGACTAGCATTAACAGCTGGTTTGTTCATCATCCTCAGCTCTAGGGGGTTTTTGAATGGTAAGTCTAGAGACATAATTCCTGTGAATGATGAGATGGGCCCTTTGTGTGTGTCAATTGGGATGATGTTTGCTGTCCTTGGTGTGGTCTGGACCATGATCATAAAACAAAATGTGAGGCATAAAAGGCAAACAATCTAGAATAGAATAACCTTTTGACCACTTGCGCAAGGACGATATTTGAAGCCTCCAAATATTTCTGATGTGCCATCATGTATATAATGACAAATCTAAATACTGCCTTTTTTTGAAGTTTGAGTTTTACCTGGCTGAAAAACCACTGCTCAAGAATAACATTTATTTTCAGCATCACATTGACCCCCTGTTGAAGTTTCTAAACTTTCATGGTGTTCAAAAGTTGTGCTGGTTATTGTATAGTAGTGGACAAAAAGTGATGTCATTAGCACAATAATTGTTTTTAAGATTGGATTAATTATTTGGGAAGACACTGCTAAACCAAGTTAAGATAAGAACAAAAGGCATAGGAGAGTCTATTTCACTGTACAGAAAGCAAGCATGAAAAACAAAAAGCTTGCAGGAAATAAAATATGACAACAGTCTAATCCTCTATTAACTCTTCAGTGGTCCCTCCTTGCTAGGAGTCAAGTAAGTTAAGTCTTGTTTGGAGTCAGGAGTGAGGCAGGCAGCTTATAGAAATGCTTGCATTGCCAACTAGTCAAATTTATGCTAAAAACTTCTGAACCATAAGGGGAAGCAAGATTATTTCTTTCTTAATTGACACTAAGCAATTGTATTAGATTCTTCAAAAACAAACTATTTTGAATTCTTCCATGACTGTTGGTCCAATTCTCACAAATGTTAAACAGGATAACCTTCTGGACATACTGAAGAAACGTAGCAGAATTCAAGTTGATTGGTTCACATCAAGTTGGGGCTTTCTGTGTGTTCTGAATGAAATATATTGCCTTCTGAAGTAGAGTTGAAACAATCATGGCTGCCGCATTGAAGTATCATTCCAAAGAGAAGTACTTCAGACTGGACAATTTGAAGGGGCCTTTGGAATAAATGATTTTGAAGGTTACATCTGATGAAAATTGAACGAAGCAAGGCCACCATGATCCTTTGCTCTGGAAAGTTGATTTGTGTTGCTCTGCATTTCAGAGGGATACACTGTGTTCCATTTGGAAGGGCTTATCTTCATGCCCTAATACAGGGGTGTCCAAACTCGGTCCTGGAGGGCCGGTGTCCTGCATAGTTTAGCTCCAACTTCCTTCAACATGTTCCCTGGAAGTTTCTAGTATACCTAGAAAGAATTAGATTATCTGCTTCAGGTGTGTTCAATTGGGGTTGGAGCTAAAATATGCAAGACACCGGCACTCCAGGACTGAGTTTGGAAACATTTGAAGAGTTTACCTTCAACAGTGACTGCTTTGAAGGGATTAGGGCATAGGGATGAACCTTTTGAATGCAATGCTGTGCATCTCTCTGCCATGCTTCAGCATATTCAGACTTGGTGTGTGTTATCAAACCATGACCTGAGGCTGCTTGCACAGTTTCACTGCATTGCCCCCAATAGGTCAGGAGAAATCCTCTATTTACAATGTTAATTCTAAACAAGTTGATTTAAATCTCAAAACTGCTCTTTGGATTCAGATCTGCTTAAGTTATCCAACTTTCCAACCACTGCCTTGTTGAATGAGATTACATTTTCTGCTATCTCTTTTAAGAATGCATTGGTGTATTTTTGCTAAACTTTTTATCTGACTTTGGCATAATGCCCTAAAGACGCAAGGTGTTTGAAATGTTTTGAGCCAGCACTAGTTCAAAATTATAGTGAAATATCAGTAAATAATACTAATTAGTTTTACCAGTTGAGATTGCCTGTTGTTGTTAGATTCTCTTGGATCATAATGAGAATGTGTGTCAAAAATCTTTTGCCACAATTTGTCAAACATCCTGTCCACCATTTTGATTTTCTTTGAAATACAAATTCATCAAATTCCTTCAAACTCTTCTGAGTCTGAGTTTTATCAAATTGAATCATGCCAGCAAAAAGTCAAATGAAATAAAGTGAAATGAGTGTGATGAAAATGTAAAATGAAACTGAATAAAATGAAACAGTTTTTATTTACCACATAAATGAATTTGAAGGCATGATTGATGTCATTCTCACATTGACCACACTTGAATTTATTTGGCATTTTAAATAAATTCCTATTGAAATGTCATCAATATCGAAGTTCTACGGATGGTTTAATGTTTCGTTCTTTATTTACAGAAGTTTTTGTAAAAAGCATAACACCAAATAGTGTACATCATGTATATGTTAACAAAAATATCTCGGTCTTATTACCTGATACAAATTAGCATGCACCACAACACTAGCAAACAATGCAACAATTATACAGCATTATCAAATAAAATTAAAAATCTCAGCCAGACATATGGAATTAGAAACAAAATACATGTAAAAAAAAAAAAAATGTATTACAGAAACATTATTAACCTTTATATCAAAGGAAGGGGCCCTAACTTCTGTTTGCCAAATCTAGAGAAATGTAACCTTTCCATCCTGAGGGCAAAAACCATTTCAGCTAATCATTTAAAAAATATATATATATTCGAAGATGTCATGGATTTCCACTCCATCAGAATCACTCTCTTGGCCAGCACCATGCCAAACATAAGGGAGAGTTGTTGATGTTTAGGCCAAGTTAGTGCCTGGTCTGAACATCCAAACAGTGCTATTTGCACATCAATTTTACAGTCCATTTCAAAAGCCTGGGAGTAAAGTCCGAAGACACTTTTCCAAAATTCAGGTACTTCTGCACAGGACCAGAATATATGACCATGTTCATTAAGTTTGGCTTTAGTATAGTGTAATTTATGCATCACTTCAAATTGTATGAGCTGTAGTCTTAAACTTATAGAGCAAGAATGAACATGACTCAGTCCCTCCTACCAAGTAGAGGATGAAATGTCAGTTCCTAATTTCCTCTCCCAAGAATCTTTAAGGTGTGCAGTAGAGACCGAAACGTGAGAAGCAAACAGATCTATAAATTTGGTCACTAAATGTTTCTGCATTGGGCACTGCCTCAAAAGCTTGTATAGACCCTGATCAAGGGAGACTTCCTCTCACTGAGGAAAATTGTGTTTGATAAAATGACGCACCTGTAAATAACAAATAAAGTGTGCGGATGGTTAATTATCGAAATATATATTATTTAATTAGCAGTCATTCATTTGCACATTCCTCATTGATTATCTTTCCTTGTGCTATCTCAAATGCATGCACATAAAAAATACACTCTCCATGCACAACTATGCAGTAAAAAAATTAAAAAAAATAGAAGAGATAAGTTTCTCAATGGCAGACATCACTTTTGGCCACTGCTGTATGATCGTTATTGTTTTGACTCTTGTTGTGTGTTTAAATGGCTATTTATCTTCAGGTTTGTGATCCTGATAAAATATTCTGATAAAAGCATTACTTTACAGCTGAACCTCAAGGTTTATTCACTTCAGTGTACTTTGAACATCACCTGTAAAGTGTACGTCATGTTTCCCGCAGTGTGTACTTTCAGAACTGTACTCTCTTCATGATGCATCTGAACAGACGGGCTGCAGTGTAGTCCAATACTTCAATTCAAAAAAGGACACCAATATACTAACTTTTCAGCTATGGAGAAAAAATATCCTGGAGTTGGACGCTGTAAATGTGCATTCTGGTTTGCTGTTTTTCATGACATTTTTGGACTGTTTGTCCTCTTAGCAGGGGTGTTCTGGGACATCTTTTTCCATGACTTTTTAATTTATGCCGGAGCCGTGATCATTTTCTTGAGCTTGATCTGGTGGGTGTTTTGGTACACGGGGAACATTGAAGTGCCTCCTGAAGAGCTGGAGGACGACATTGTTCAGTACAAACGCAATGCCAAAGGAATTTCGGGCGTCATGCGTAAAGTCTCCAGCAGTCTTTCCAATGGATTGAGGAACTCGTTCAGGAGAAATGGACGAATCAACAATCAAGCTGAAGGCTCAAACCGCATGGCTAGAGCAGATCTACCTGTCACCATTGCCATGAGCTCTTATCTCAGTTCACAACAACCTGAAACCACCAACCAGCTCAACCGTGATCCTTTAATGATATAACATACAGGTAACACACATAGTACACTTTGAAAACAATAGTTTGATAACACAATGGAAACTCTTTGATTGGTGCTTAAAGCTTGGTGGTTAAGCTTTATTTTAATAATCATGTAACCTGTGGCTTTGTCAATTATTTACAGATTCCTGGACTCCTATTGGCCAGGACAGAGAATCAAATAAGACTTATCTTTTGCAAACTTTGCTCGACATTGAATGTCAGGCTCTGATTTGCATCTGAATTCCCACAGTGCTTTGCATGGAGACCCTACTCTTCACATCTGTGCCGCCAGTTGACTTGATTCATATATCTACAGGATCATTAGTGGATATGTTTATCTATAATCTGCTCATTTACATGACCATATGTTGTTATAATGCAATATTATTTGTTATATGGGTTGTTGACAATGTTGCATTTTCACTGTCACACATGACAAAAAAAAAGAAAATAATTAGTATTTTCACCATTTAAAATCCAGTAAATGGTTAAACATTTCTTTCTAAGAAGGATCTCGTTATAAAATCTGCTGTTAATACATTTTTTCTACAATTGTCAAAACTGTCCTATTGTGTAAGTGGCTGTCCCAAACATACATTACAATTCTTATAAATTAAAAAGAAAATTGTAAAGTCATCAATAAATTCCTCAGGTCAAATTTTACAAGGAACTATTTTCATAAATGACAATTTTTTTCCATCAATGTATTTCTGAAAAACATTTTTTCACTGAAAACCATTCGACATTAAATGCTCCTTTTAAATCTGCAATTCCTCTGAAAAGGACCAGATCATGTGAGTGAAGCCCTTGACGATCACATGTTGAGTTTTTGTTTCAGAATTTGTACATATTTAACTTGTTTTGAAACCACTGTAAAATGAAGTTTTATTGTCTTTTGGTGTGAATCTCCTATTTATTGAACCATGTCCAACAAGTCATGGAGAAGATACAATTTTCATATAATATTATATTTCAAAATTATATTTCAAATAAAGTAGACAGCACTGTATGAAGATAAGTGTTCAACAAGAAAGATAAAATCACTCTCACACTATTTGTATAGTATTGTTTTAATTATTTATTATATCACACCATAGACATTTTTACAGTAAAAAAGCATTTTTTTCTTCAATTTAAAATTAAATAAAATAAAAAAATAAAAATAAATCTTATTTTATTGCCTATTTGTAAATTACCCGTGTGTGTGTGTGTGTGTGTGTGTGTAATTAATGTACATGATTTTTCTTCCTCCTGCTGGTTGTGTATTGTAATATTTTACTATTATCTCTTTGTATCTTATAAGCAGTGCTAAAGAGCTAATTTGTCTCATGTATACAGACTTTTGCTAAATAAATAATTTTTTAAAATTGATTTGTTTGTCTTGGTATAGTTTTAAGTCTGTTTTTTTTTCACTTTAAAAAGTACAAGATTACAATTCATTCATACTATTCACTTTTATATGGAGAATTAAGTCACTCGAATTACTCGGGTGTGAATTTTTCAACAGTGTAAAGATCTTGATTGTTTGTGGGTTTCATCTATCGAATCTGATCTTTAATTTGTATTTTATATTATAGCTTTAAGTCAGGTGATTAAATGGGCCATGCTACAGCTAGATTTACTTTCTCTGAAATCAACTGAGATTTTCCTTGGCTGTGTTTTGGATCACTGTCTTGCTGAAATGTTTTCTCTGGATTCATTTTCAACATTGTGGCAATGTAGATGTTGAACTGAAGCAGCTAATATTAATTTGTGGAAGGGCAGAAGGTTGTTTATGATTGGTGTGTAAACTTATCAATACAGTTTTCTTTGCATATATGGATTTCTTTGGTTGTTACCAACATCTGGTGAAAATTTTAAGTCAACGGAACCTTTAGAAATATGAATTTTTGTGGAAAGTGGTGACATTAGATTAATGAGAATATATTTTTAACAAGAAGATGCAAAAGGACATATATATACTTGATCAAATATACTTTGTTATTGCTAATTTTGCTACCGTATAGAAAGCTATATCTAGGAATCATTGCTTGATTTTTTTTTGTTTGAAAAATTATTCAAACAGCTTTATTTTAAAACACAATGTCCCTTTTAATATGAATAAGCTTATATGAATAGTTATTTTTAGCTAAACAAAAGAGCAGTTTTTTATTATTAGAAAATGTGACTAAAAGTTCAACTGACTGAAAGTACAGATACTGAGGGACATCCCCTTCTTAAAGCAGATTTACATACTGGCTTAATAAAATGTAAACCGCTGCACAAGTTGAGTGACTCCCAACACCTCAGCAGAAGATGCTTCTCTTTATTTTGCTGCTATACATGACTTTTTATGTTGAGGGGAAATGTTCAAAGAATCATTATTACGATGGACTTCTCGAGGAGTGTCAGCACTGCTCCATCAGATGCAAATCCCCACCAAATATTTGCAAAACGTTTTGCTCCTCAAGTAAGTACTGGCTTTATATCTGGTTCAAATCTTTTGATAATAATAAGATTAAATTAATTTTAGATTTAATTAATAAGTTAAACAAGCACATTATAGTAATGCTACACTGTAAAAAATGCTGGGTTCTGCAAAATTGATTTGTGTTGGGACAACATGAAGGAATTAAGTTAACTTAATAGTTTTTACAAATTTTGGTGAATTGAACATAAAACGATTAAGTTGTCCCCCAAAATATCTCAAGAAACAAACAGCAAACGTAATTTTTTTGAGTGCAAGTTCACATCACTTTAGAAAGTTATGCAAGTTGTTTTATGTAAGCCTATATTATATTATGTTATATTATATTATATTATATTATATTATATTATATTATATTATATTATATTATATTATATTATATACATAATTAACTTTATGTACACTTCTGTGAAACTTCATTGGTTTTATCTTGAGAGAAAACAGAACGTCTTAAACTCTTTTAACAGAATTGTATTACAAAGTCCAGAATATTTGTTGCATGATTTGTCTCATTCGATGCCTTCGTTTTGTTTCAGTACCGGAAAATGAAGTTGAAAAGAATCAAAATATGCGTTTTATTTTGATCGTGTTTTTTGTGTTCCTGGGAGCTTTCATGGCACTGACTATTATTCTGCGAGTGATACAGAGAAAAAGCTGTAAGCCCATCATCATGAACAAAGGTATATGGTGAAAAACACTTTTTTTATATGTTGAGAAAATAACAGAGACTTTTGTCTCACAAGACAAGACACTAAAGGTCAACTGTCAATTTTCACATTTTGGGTTTTAGATTTTCACAAAGTGCTTTTTTCAGTTTAATGAAACAAAACAAACAAACAAACAAAAACAAGGAAAACTTTTAAGTGCTTCAATTGTTGCATTTTATCAATTTGTGTCTGTAAATCTCAATTACAAAATGACTTTTTTTTCAAAAATACCTCATAAAATGCAGTCATAAATCCTTACTTTAGAAACTTTTTTTTTCAAACCTTTATTCTTACATTTTTTTTAAGCAGGATTTGTTTGGATTAAATACTTGATCAATTGGCCTGATTATGTCAATTTTGTTTGGTAAAGTCAGTGTTCACAGTGTTTTCTGAATTATGGAGTGGAAAAAATCCCATCAGAAAAAAACTTTGATACTAATATGTAATAAACAAATAAAATAACAATAATTAAATGAAACAATTTACCTGACATCATTCACTGTTTGGCTTTTTGAACTGGAAATGTGTTTAAATTAGCAACATTTAATGAAAAAATGCCTTGTAATACAAAACAACAACAACAACAACAACAAGTTCTAGTTATTTTTTATACACCTGCAGTGTCTTGCCTTAAGTCAAAATTGCTTATAGTTTCATGTTTTTGCCAAAATATATATATAATATGTAGTCTAGATAATTTTCAATTTAAATGATTTGTAAATCAAATCACACAGTGCTTTGTGAAGAACAGAAGAACTCGGATGTCACTAAGCAATCTGAAGATACGGATAGAACTACAACTGATTTCCAGGACGGACTGAATCAACATCACTACAACTCTAACCTGCCTCTTCCCTCCACCGAGGAAGGAACCACACTGCTTGTTACAGCAAAAACAGTACAATCTTACCACTGTAATCCTGTCATTTATGGAGGAGAAACCATGGAGCTTACATAAATCAGCAGACTCTGAAAACATTTTATTTCTTATTATCTGGTCGACAGTGATGTTACTTCACCATTAATCTATGCTAACGGAATATGACTGCCATTTTAATCTGAAATTGAATTCTGTATGCAATTGGTATTGTATGACTGGAATTTAAAGACATGAACATTTACCACGGTTTTACTACAAAGAAGAAGAAAAAAAAAAAGAATATTTTAGTAACAACAACGAAATGACAATCTATTGTAGTTGCTGCTATGCTGACCATAGTTTAACCACAGTATTTGTAGTAAAACTAGTAGTTATACAAATGACAGGCTAAACACATGGTTATTACACTTTTACTATATTAAAACCATGGTTGACTTAAAAAACTTACAACTTAACATGATTGTATAATAATAACTTTATAAAATAAAACAATTACTGAAATTATTTTAACAAATTATTAAATATGAAAATCATCATCACCTAAGTTGATGCTCATTTTCAGTGACATTTTAGTTTAACATATTAATGTTACAACCAGAGCCTATAAAGTGTTAACAAACAATAGGCCTATAAAAAATCATAGAATTTTCTTAGCAAGATGTAGGCTAGAATAGATTAACATTTGAAAAGGTTTGTTTGGAAATTACCAATCTATTAAGTCTTCAGCATAGGCTAGCAAGAGCTATAATGAAGTACTGAATCTGAATATTCTCAAAAGTCATTCTAAAAATTAAGGCAGTGAATTCACTGTATATTATAATGCCCACAACAACAATATAATGCATGTTCATTATCACAATATATTGTACTTAATAGTGGCACGATATGTATTACATTGAGGTAACGTGGTTTTATATTCGGACATTCCTTCAGTGAAAACTTGTCACATACTTCCTATATTGTTTACCATGGCATTTTGAATATTCGGTCTGGAAATCACATGTAAATATGACTTCAAAACAACATTATATTTTATTTACTTTAAATAATGAAGTACTTTAATAGTCATTGACTGCTAATATGATTTCACTATTTAGAATTTGTAAATAATACTTTTCTGAAATTATGTTATTAAGGAGGAAGTCTTAATAACATAATATAAACCATTTACCTCAATATGCATTCTTACTAAACATCAGCAATTCATATATAAGAACTGTGTTATTGGTATTTGAAACTGTTAGAAACTATTTTCAACATACTTTGTCCAAACATCCCATATCTGAGTATTGCTCTTATACATTTTTAATTAATGAAATGTCGGTAAAAATGAGGTAGCCTAAGCTTATTTAAGTGCTAGGCCAACTTATAAACATTGTATAAAATAGAATAATCTTATTATATAAGACACTTCAATAAATGAACGAATGCGTAATATTTATGCAATACATGCTTAAAAAATAAACTTCTGTCAATTACTCACTGTCTTTTTCCAAACTTTGGATCAATATTTTCCTCTGAAATGACCTGTTATGCTCTCTGGGAGTCTCAGTCACCTTTACGTTTCACTGAATGGGAAAAACATACAATATGAGTAGCAGTTTCTAAAATTCTGTCAAACATTTCATTTTGTGTTTCACTGAAGAGAAAAAAACTGGTTTTGCAACGTCACGAGGCAGATAAATGTTTGAGTGAATAATCATTTTAAATCTTACTCAAATTTTAACAGCGACCGATGTAACTTGAGTCGAAAACAGGTTTAAATGATCGAAATAATGCAATTTTTATAAACGTGTACTATTAATTATAAAATTAGCTGTGTGTTTAACCCATGTGACAATGTTGCTGTCACGTGACACAAGAGTACTGTCATGTGACTGACACGAACGCCGTGCAGTGGCATTAGCGAGCTCTGGTTAGCAAAACGATACAGAGTTTAGCACTTTAGAGACAGTTCACTTATGATTATCAGTAAAGTCTTGGGTTGCGTCATAAAACATCTTTTTGATAGTTCTGATGCATTAAACGGCTTCAAAAAAGTGTCAGTGTTGTCTGAGCTAGGCCTCGGTTGTTCAGTAACGATTAACTGCTCTGCAAAGGAAACTATGGAGAGACTTAAAATACAGACAATGTTAAACACCTCTTGGGATTAATCTGACATTTTTTGGGGACCGACACCACGGCGATTCATGTCGCTTACTAAAAAGCTTAATCTGGATTTTCAGAATGAACGGTAAGTTGTAGATGTGTGGTAAGGGATACGTTATTTGTTAAAACACATTTGTCTGTTAATGCTGTTTATAAAGCAGAATATGCAGTAACATAATTGCCACTGAAGTCTGAATATTAAATCCTGTAAATTGTCATTCTCTTTTGAGAACTAAGGGATCTAGCTATTTAAATGGGGTGGTATAGGTACAGTTAAACTTGATATAATTTGTTAAAATTGGGTTATAAAGGTACATTCGTACTTAAAAACGTCACTTCCCACTCATTTCTTTGTCAGTGGTTTTGACAGCTCCTGTCAAATGTGTGTCAGTGTTGTGCTTCTGTTTGTACATAGTCTGGTGGTTCTGCCATGCCTTGTATAATATTTTTAAAATAATGAGAATTAATTACACAAAAATATATATAAAAGAAAACTAGGCATGGGCCGGTATAAGATTCAGACTGTATAATAACCTTGGATAAAAATATCACGGTTTTACGGTTTCATGGTATTGTGCTTACTGCTCTAAAATATATTATTTTTAAATGTATGGTAAAGGAACAAAACAATTTCCCCACTTTCAACACAATATATTTTATTTTTTGAAAGATTAAATTTTTTTTTTGGAGCACTAAACATTTCAGGTAAAAAAATTCAAAATAAATCATTGACTTCTGTCTTTATTAGTTTCAAAAACACAGATTTCTTTACAATTTAAAAGGGCATCTTTGGATATCATTTATACTAATGATACTTTGTCCTTACAAACTTAGAACTAAAATGTAAATAAAAAATATTACACATACCTTAGGAATGATATTACAGAAAATTTTGGCAGTTATAAAACTTGACTTGACTTTTCCAAACCGCGGTATACCATGAAAACGGTTTTTGGTCATTGTCATGGTTTTTAAACAGTTACCTAATATTCACCGAAACGTTGGTTCATCTCTTATATAAACTGTTAAAAGCAAAATAAGTAATCCAAATAAAAATATTCTCAAATGATGTTTAGCAGAGTAAAGACATTTTCACATTATTTCTTTTTTTAACTGGTAAAAGTCTTATTTCTTTTATTTTGGCTTTAATAAAATCAGTTTTTATTTGCATTTTGCAATTTTTGGTTACAGAAGAAACCTGTGTTATCCAATGACTTGATGAATTAATCCAGTTAAACCTTTATATTTCACTTTAAGACGAATGATAATATACTGCAAAACAACTAATAAAATATTATGTACTACTGTCATCATGGCAAAGACAAAAGAGAAAAGTTGTTAAAGTGATTATGTTAAAAATGTGTTGGAAAAAGATCTCCATTAAACAACAACTTATTATTATTTTGAATATTATTAAAATATTTAAAGAATAATGAAAATATCACTTAAGGGTTAATCATTTTGCCTTTAACTGTATATGAAGAAAAAAGTGCTTGCAAAGTAAGTGTCAAGCAGTCAATCTTTTACCATTATGTTAATAATTATTATTTATTCCATGCACTGTGTGTTTTTTGGTGTTTATTGTTAATGTGTTAATGCTGTTGAGTGAGGTAAATTCAACTAGTAACTTTACCTTACAGGCGCACAGCAAAATGACCTTAAAAGACAAAACCTGTTAGAGAGACTTCTTGATGCGGTTAAACAGGTAAAGTAACATTGACTTGTTTCATTAACTATAAGATCGTTTATTTGTTTCCAGTGCTAACCCAAACCACTTCCTCTTTTATCATGCTGGCTTAGATCAAGAAAAGACATAGTGACTGACCAATATACGTTTGTGATTGGCCAATTTTAACAGTGATTATTTCTCGACAAACCACAAAGTGAACGGCTTTGCTGTATCAATCTTTCATATTTGATCTGAATGTCAACAGAAATAGTCAGTCGAAATGATCTGATTTAGTCTCTCTGTAAATAAATGACCTCTAGCAATGCTCAAGTTATTATGTATATCAAAGTTATTATTGTGTCTTTAAATATGGGGGTTGGGGATTAGTTAAGTGAATAAACAGTTTTTATTTAGAAATAAAAAGGTAAATATTAGACCTCATAGTCGGGTCCCAATTGGCACATTTTTAATAGAAAAGTGTATTTAAATTGAATGCTTATTTTTAATTAAACGTACTTTGAAGAGATCTATTTTATTATATCAGACATTATCTTTCCTTATTAAAACCAACAGGCGAATTGATTGAACTCTTTTATTTTTTTTCAGTAGTTGTCGTTATCTTTAATTAAAAAAATGTGCAAGAAAATATTGACTGTATGCAAGTCAAAAAATTAATGACCTTTCAGATATTGTGTAATCTGTAGATAATAAAACTGTGAATGTTCTTGGCCTTATTAAATATTTTGCAATAATGGCACGCTAAAAACTTTCATATGAATGATATTGCAGTTTTTCATGACTGCTAATACCCTAAAATTAAACTTTTTCCAACAATTAGCAAAACCGTAAACTCAAGGAGCAAAACACAAGGCTAGATCTGCACAACTGTAAGCAAATTGTCAGCTTCACACTTTTTGCTAAACATTACACACAGTGATATGCAATTCACTAAACACACTTGGATGCTTTTGACACAGAAATTTTTTATAATGGAATTTTCTTTCAATTTTAAAACAAAGGCCTTCAAATGAACACACACACGAACCATAGGTTAAACAGCCATCAGCACACACAATGCTGCAAAATTGTAGACACACCAATCAGCTGGAACCACAATAAAAAATGCAATAGGTAGAAGCTATTAGTCTTCAATTTACATGTTTACAGTAATATAGCTATAAATGTTAGCCTTCAATAAATATGTTTACAGTAGTATAGCTATAAATATTACTCTTCAATAAATATGGAAGGCAATGTCGCAGTATGGAAGAGGAAGCACTAAAGGGAGAATCATTGGTAAACAGGAGACAGGGGATGGGAATTTTTTTATATTGAAATATATGCATCACCAGAAAGCTTAATAAATACACTTTACATTTGTTGTATAGTTTGCTAGCATAAGGCAATATTTAGCTATCAGTCTATCACTGTTTGGTGAAAACAGTATGTTAATGTACTTAATAGCAATACCTCTGATCCCAGATTATATTAGTATTAGTTAAAAATTATACAAGTGTTAAAGATTGATTACCACAGTGTGTAAATGAAGCAAACAGATTTATATTGAATGAAGCGTGTGTGTTCTGTACGGTGTCAAAATTGTGTTTTGTATTAATGTTGTCAAGTTTTAAATGAAGTGTTTCATTTTGCAAAATAACTAATGAGTTCTGCTCTCTGTGTGTGTGGATGTGTAAATTGTGTGTAGTGTTTTGACAAAATGAGCTGTAATTTCAAAGTTGTGCTTGAGCGATCAGAAAAAACTGTAAAATGTCATTTTGTAAATTTAGTAAAAAAGTGAATTTGCAGGTCACCTTGGCATTTTATTCTGAATACAGCAACTGTTCATCTTCTATTTAACAGCTGTTGTGCTTGCATATTAATATGCTTAAATATGAATATATTAAATCTGGTTCAGTTGGCGTTTTTGTGTGGAGTTTCTCCCCACAAGTCCAAAAACATGTGGTACAGGTGAATTGGGTAAGCTCAAATTGTCCGTAGTGTATGAGTGTGAATGAGTGTATATGGATGTTTCCCAGTGATTGGTTGCAGCTGGAAGGGCATCCGCTGCGTAAAACATATGCTGGATTAATTGGCAGTTCATTCCGCTGTGGCAACCCCAGATTATTAATCTTAGGGACTTAGCTGAAAAGAAAATGAATATACATTAACAGCGATTAAATAAATTCTGTAATAAATGTATTGTT